AGGTCATTGTCCTGGTGGTCAGTGATTGACCCTAGATCACACAGAAAGACTCGAAAGCCGCTGAGTGGGTCACCAACCACAGACAGACATCACGACTCAATGGTTCATAGAGGAAATGTGAATGGCTCGTGATGGAAATCACCTCGATTCTTATTTTGGTGACAGATGTTGGTAAAGGTCACCAAGACCCTGAAGTGCCACAAATGGTTAAGAGGTCTCTCAAGCTAGACAAGCTGCTGTCCTCACAGCTCAGGCTTGCTGCAGGGAAAGGATGCAGGAGAAAATCTGGGTTGGCAAAAGGTGACTGGTCAGAATCATGCAGGATGTGAAGGACCCAGCTGTTCTGTCTGGGCTGTCTCTCTAGACTGAGGAGAGTGTTCCCAGCAAGCACATGGAGCAGATATAATGGGTATTACTCAATAGGAAAGATCAAGAATCTTGGGGCTTGAATATTTGGGGGCATGGTGGCACAAGGAAGAACATGGAGGCATGGAGCACCCCTTAAGGCTTCTCTTATTCTCCATATAATCTGCAAAAGGGGAAACCCTTGCATGAATGTAGCAATCTCCTCTGGCTCTGTGGAAAAGGTGTCACTTCTGCTCCACCTTGCTCAGTCCCCTAAGCACTGTCTCAGAGAGGTTCTTCTTTTCTGCTCTGCCTTACTAGCCCCACCTAAGGGAATGTCTCTGCAAGGTCTTTTTCTGCTCAGTCCCCTAAGGGGACTTAACAAGGTTCTTCACTGCACAGATGAATAAAGTTCTTTACTCAAGACTCTTTTGAGAAAGAGATTTATTTGAGAAGGAGGAGTCCAGCAGAGTGGCTGCCTCTACCATGATGGGAAAGGACAGCCGACAACTGAGCAGGCAGTGTGGTTTATATAGGGTTTTCTAGTGGCGGAGTTTCTCCAGGAAAAAGATTTTCCATTCAGGGATTGGTTAGTTTTCCTGATCAAGGATTGATTAGTTTCATTGGTCAGGGGCAAAGATTGTTCCAATTTCAGAGCCAAACTGTGTTTCTTTGTCCAGAAATAAATGTTCAGCTTTTAGGAATTGACAGTTTGTCACAAATAAAACAAAGTGCAGATGGGTGGAATGTATAGGGCTAGCAGGACAGAGAGGAAAAATAAAGCCATATGTGGCTAATATAGCAATGAATTTATGGGGACATGATTAACTACAGCATTGGAATACTCAGATTAACATCATCCAATCTCAGAAACAAACTATAAAATAAGAAATGCTTCTGAGAGAAATGTCAAAAGACACTATCAAGAACAGTCACAGACCATTCAAGCTGTACATCGGCAGGGCACCACAGCTGTTGGTAAAGGTAATATCAGCTCTGCCTTTAAAATGGCTGACTGACAAACCTGTTTGGGTGGTACAATGGCCTTTGACAACAGAAAGATTACAGGCCTTAGAGTAGCTGCTATAGGAGCAGTTAAATGCTCAAAATATTGAAGAATCAACCAGTCCTTCGAATTCTATATTTGTGATTTAAAAGAAATCTGAAAAATGGAGAATAGTAACAGATCCAAGAGCTATTAATAAGGTGATTCAGCCAATGAGTTCTTTACAGTTTGGAATTCCCCTGACTTCTCCATTTCTCAAAGTATGTCCTATTGTAGTTATTGATTGAAAAGTCTATTTTTTCACTATACCTTTACAAGAAATGAATAGAGAAAGAAATTGGCTTCATAGTGCCTACTTATAATAATCCTCAGCCTGTTAAGAGAACTCATTGGAAGGTTCTCCCCCAAAGGATGTTAAACAGTCCCACCCTGTGGCCATATTTTGTTAGACAGCCATTGAAAATAATTCATGTACAATTTTCCCAATCTACAATTTACCATTATATGGATGATATTTTACTAGCTGATTCAAATGTTAGAGAAAATTTTTGAAGAGTACAGAAAAATTTGCCTTGCTTGGGGATACAAATTGCTTCTGAAAAAAATACAAAGAGGAGATTCTATTAATTACTTAGGATATAAAATACAAGCTGGGCAGTAGTGGTGCATGCCTTTAATTCCAGCACTCAGGAGGCAGAGGCAGGTGGATCTCTGTGAGTTTGAGGCCAGCCTGATCTACAGAGCGAGATCCAGGACAGGCACCAAAACTACACAGAGAAACCCTGTCTTGAAAAAAAATAAGTTTACAAAAAATTCAACCTCAAAAGGGACAAATCTGGAGAGATCAATTGCATACTCCTAATGATTTTCAAAAATTGTTGAGAGACATTGCCTATCTATGGCCCACTATTAGAGTAACAAATCAAGAACTGAGTAATGTGTTTCAAACTTTAAAATGTCACTGTTTAAGAGAATTATCAGCTGAAGCTGAGAGAAAAAATTGGCTTTGGTGGGAAAGAAATTACAGGATGCTCATGTGGATAATTTGGATCCAGAGTTTGAGTGCATTCTGGTTATTTTACCCTCTATGCATTCCCCTACAGGGATTTTAAAGCAAAGAGAAAATGCTATCTTAGAGTAGACATTTTCACCACACAAACAGAGCAAAAAATTAAAGATGTATGTGGAAAAGGATTCTGAATTAATTCTAAAAGGAAAATTAAGACTTTGTCAATTGACAGGAATGAACCCAGCAGAAATTACAGTACCTTTTACTAATGATGAAATTGCTTCATTATAGACAGAAAATGAAAACTGACAAAGAGCTTGCAGTAATTTTTTGGGGGGAGATAAGTAACAACTATCCAAAAAGCAAGAGATTTCAGTTTATTTTAAAAAACTAATTGGATTTTACCTCATATATTAAAAGGTACCCCAATTTCTGGAGCCCCTACATCTTATACTGATGCAAGTAAATCAGGAAAGGCAGGCTCTAAGTCAGATTCAAGCCGGGCAGTGGTGGCGCACGCCTTTAATCCCAGCACTCGGGAGGCAGAGCCAGGCGGATCTCTGTGAGTTCGAGGCCAGCCTGGGCTACCAAGTGAGTCCCAGGAAAGGCGCAAAGCTACACAGAGAAACCCTGTCTCGAAAAACCAAAAACAAAACAAAACAAAAAGTCAGATTCAAAGCCCTTATGGTTCAGTTCAGAAATCAGAATTATTTGTTATTCTTTGAATTTCAGAAACTCTTAATATAATTAGTGTCTCTCAATACACAGAAAGAGTTGTCTTACATACTGAAATGACTAAACTTATTCCTGATAAGTCTGTATTAGCTTTATACAATTACAGGAAATAGTCAGGAATAGGAATCATCCCACATAGATAACACATATTGGATTCCGTATGGATCTGCCAGGCCCTCTAGCACAAGGTAATGATGAAATTGATCAATTATTCATATGAAAAAAACATCATGTCAATAGCAAGGGCTTAAAAAGGAATTTTCCTTCACTTGGGCAACAAGCCAAGGAAACTATAAGAAAATGTCCTACTTGTTTCTTGTATAACCAAACTCCACTACCTGCAGGAAGTAACCCAAAGGGTACTCAAAGACATGAAATTTGGCAGATGGACATGTTTCATTTTGCAGAATTTGAAAATTTAAATGTGTATACCATACCATAGATATATATTCCAAGATTTCAATGGGCAACTGCTTTGAGTTCTGAAAAGGCTGATTCTATGATTACACATCTGTTAGAAGTAATGGCCATTATGGGGGTACCTGTACAAATTAAGTCTGACAATACTCCAGCATATGTGTGTAGTAAAATGAAACCGTTTTTGAATATTATAACACAAGGCATATTACAGTTATACCTCACAACCCCACAGGACAAGCAGTTACAGAAAGGTCTAATTGAACTTTAAAAGAAATGATTAATAAACAGAAGGGAGTAACAAAAACACCCAGAGATAAAAGTACAATGTTTATTAACTTTAAATTTCTTAAATGCTAATGAAAAAGGGACAACAGCTGCAGAGAGACATTGGATAATAAAAAAAACTAATGAATTAAGTCAACCTATTTATTTTTAAAGTGTATTAAAACTCAGAATGGAAAGCAGGATATGTGTTATTTTGGGGGAGAGGTTTTGCTTTTGTTTCCACAGGAGAAGAAAAACTATGAATACCATCAAGATTGGTAAAGAATAGATTTGAACAGGAGAGCCTTCCTGATGAGGAGAGGAGATAGCTGAGAGTTAAATTGTCCTAATGGTATAGTATAATTCCAACAGGATAAAATTTCATGTCTTCCTAAATGTTTGTTTTTGTTGTTCTTTACAACGGTAAAAGGCAAATGGTCTTCTTGTAGTCCCAATTTAATTAAAATTTAAAGCTGACTTTAGGGTAGAAGCATGGTTCTCTCCTCTAAACTCAAGCATATTTGTTAAAGTAAAATCCAAAATCTTTGTCTCATGTCAGAAGAGCCACCTGATGTGGGACAGAAGAAAATTAAAATGTAGAGATTACTCTATTGCCAATAGTCTCATAATCCTTTGGTTTTATTTTAATTATTTAAAACTTTACATAGAAATAAATATTAACTCTGTTTTAAGACTATTCTGTATATGACATTTTAAATGTTTAAGTTTTCAGCAGTGAACCTTAACCAGTCACAACAGTGACCTTTGACATCTCTAATTGAAGATGGGGCCCCACAATGATCATTGCATAGGAACTGTGGTAATGTCACTAAGGGGACAAGCACCACCTTGTTTGTTGAGACAATGTCTCCATCAACTCGGAGCCCACTCATGAGCTAGACTGGCTGGCCAGCGACTGAGCACCTCCCTTTTCTGCCTCCCTAGCACTGGGATTGCAGAAGAGGTTGGCGAGTCCAGATGCCCCGGAATGAATGCATGTCCTTATGTTTAACTGCAAGTGCCACACTGTGAGAGCCACTGCCCTGCCCTCAAACACGGCTCTTTGTAATGCTATTTTATATATAATACTGTTTGTCATTCAGTTCTCACATGGTTCCAGATACTTCATTCTTAGATGAAGAAAGAACAAGTGGTTTTCTTGTGTTGACTTTGTATCTTTGCTGAATTTGTTTGATGTTCTCATAAGGTATTGTGAAACCTCATGTTTCCTACATGCACAATTATACAGTCTATGATCAATGAATATGGTCTTTCCCCCTACCTGGGACACATTGTCTCAACTGAGCTGTGGCCTTGTGTCTCACAGACAAGCTCACACTTCTTCTACACTTAGAACCAAGAGCCTCCACTGTGTCCACCATATTCCATTTGAGCTCAGGTTCTCAGGAGACTGACGACCTTGCCCCAGCTGCCTAGGAAACAGTGACACCTGGAACTGTGCCCTACACCCCATCCCCTTGAACTCTGTTCTTTGTTACCAGAAGTCATGAGCCTATCTTGGTTCCAGAACAGATTCAGCCCACTGACCACTACTTCTACAACTTGGTAAGTTGGAATTGAGATTAGTTC